TGCTCAGAATCTATGCTGACACAGTTTTGATGTATAATAAACAATATAATATTGAATTAAACGGTTGTGCTTTTTTTACTAGATGGGTGTATTAAAAAAAAGAAAATTTACATACATACCACATAATTCTTATGTACTTGTGAATGTCTAACACTTAAATTAACAATTCATATAATATCAAAAATTTGAGTGGCATGTATGTAAATATGAAAGTTTGGGTGTTAGATATGTAAATATATAAGAAATGTGTGATATATAAGTAAGAAATTCAGGTCAGGATAATATTCAGACAAAATAAGGTCTATAATCTATTCATCTTTAATATGTTTAGATTAAATTATGTTTAATAACTAATTGAAACTTTGATCATGCTTATTTCAAAACTAATATCAACCTAGTAAACTTTGATCATACTTTGCCACATAATTAAGATATATTTATGTAGCAAAAGGGCAACCTTAACCAAGCAACATGATGAGCCACAAATTAATTATAAAAAAAATAAAAAATAAAAAATATACAAAAATTCACAAATCATATCATCAAGAGATAGCATGACATCAACATGATTTATGCCTAACTAAAGTGTGCTATGATATAAGGCATGATAAGTTTGTGGAAGATTTACATACTTGTATATCATTTAATTCCTATGTATTTACATATCTAGCATTCAAATTTCAATTTTTACATATGTCATCTTATCTGTGCATGAAATGTATTTCACTTTAAACAATTTAAAATAGTGGTATAATTTATGTTATATGACAGGTTTGAGTGGAATAAATGTAGCAAGTAATGTTTTGATGTTAGATATATAATTGAACTTAGTGTCTCTGTAACATGAACCCAATAACTCCAAATTTGGTTCAACCCAAGTCCAATCAAGCCCAGATCAAGTTGTTTTAACTGCAATTAGAAGATTTGAAGGTTCGATTGAATGGTCAAATGGATTTAAGATCTGATAAGCATATAGTCAAATTGAGTACATAAATGAGACGAAGAGAACGAGCTCAATATCATTCAACTTTGACATTGAGAAGGCACTTAAATTTTCATAAAGCATTATCTGATCATGGGAAGCACTCTAGGTCCTCTGATGCAGGGGTCCAGAATAATGTAGCATTTACGAATGATGCCACTCCCAAACTTCATAAAAGAGTCTTACTCTCTTCATCGGGAGTGAATATTATGTGTGGTATCCGTATGAGTGAATTGGTGATATTGAGGTGGTATTGGGGTGGTATTCACCTCAATACTATCTCAACACAGCCTTAATACCACCAATCTGCAATTCAAACGGCAACTTTCGATTGGGTAAAAATACCTCCTGGTCTTCTGTCAGTCGACCCTTCTTTGTTGCACTTCATCTCTTACGAACGGTTAAATCTGGTTAAATCTGCTCAGAATCTATGCTGACACAGTTTTGATGTATAATAAACAATATAATATTGAATTAAACGGTTGTGCTTTTTTTACTAGATGGGTGTATTAAAAAAAAGAAAATTTACATACATACCACATAATTCTTATGTACTTGTGAATGTCTAACACTTAAATTAACAATTCATATAATATCAAAAATTTGAGTGGCATGTATGTAAATATGAAAGTTTAGGTGTTAGATATGTAAATATATAAGAAATGTGTGATATATATGTAAGAAATTCAGGTCAGGATAATATTCAGACAAAATAAGGTCTATAATCTATTCATCTTTAATATGTTTAGATTAAATTATGTTTAATAACTAATTGAAACTTTGATCATGCTTATTTCAAAACTAATATCAACCTAGTAAACTTTGATCATACTTTGCCACATAATTAAGATATATTTATGTAGCAAAAGGGCAACCTTAACCAAGCAACATGATGAGCCACAAATTAATTATAAAAAAAATAAAAAATAAAAAATATACAAAAATTCACAAATCATATCATCAAGAGATAGCATGACATCAACATGATTTATGCCTAACTAAAGTGTGCTATGATATAAGGCATGATAAGTTTGTGGAAGATTTACATACTTTTATATCATTTAATTCCTATGTATTTACATATCTAGCATTCAAATTTCAATTTTTACATATGTCATCTTATCTGTGCATGAAATGTATTTCACTTTAAACAATTTAAAATAGTGGTATAATTTATGTTATATGACAGGTTTGAGTGGAATAAATGTAGCAAGTAATGTTTTGATGTTAGATATATAATTGAACTTAGTGTCTCTGTAACATGAACCCAATAACTCCAAATTTGGTTCAACCCAAGTCCAATCAAGCCCAGATCAAGTTGTTTTAACTGCAATTAGAAGATTTGAAGGTTCGATTGAATGGTCAAATGGATTTAAGATCTGATAAGCATATAGTCAAATTGAGTACATAAATGAGACGAAGAGAACGAGCTCAATATCATTCAGCTTTGACATTGAGAAGGCACTTAAATTTTCATAAAGCATTATCTGATCATGGGAAGCACTCTAGGTCCTCTGATGCAGGGGTCCAGAATAATGTAGCATTTACGAATGATGCCACTCCCAAACTTCATAAAAGAGTCTTACTCTCTTCATCGGGAGTGAATATTACGTGTGGTATCCGTATGAGTGAATTGGTGATATTGAGATGGTATTGGGGTGTTATTCACCTCAATACTATCTCAACACAACCTCAATACCACCAATCTGCAAGTAGCTCGTTCTCACATAATATTTTTGTCTTCATGAGTTGGACTTGGACTAGGAAGAAAAAGTTGGAGCTTCAAGCCTTTAAGGGTTCCAGAGTTCCATCACTGGTCGGACGGCTACCAAATAGTTGTCGTCGTCGAACCACCGTCATCATTGCCCGACCACCGCTGTCGAGTTTCTATCGTTGAACCATTACTTTCTGCCCACCATTGACAACTCATTGCTACTGTTGACAAGCCGCTACTATCAAACCACCACTTCCTATTCATTGTTATCGAGCCGCTGTCACCACCAAACCATCGTTGCCTGATCATCATCGTTTGATGACCTCCACCGTCGAACCTTGATTATCTAACCAATGTCGTCTGGCCGCCGCCACCGAACCACCACCGTCCGACAGACGCCGACACCAATGACTATTGTCTGGCCTTGCCCATTGTTCATGCTAAAGGACCACCATCGTCGTTGAAATACCACTGTCGCCACAATCAGTTCTCTGCTACCCAGCCATCACTTTTGTCACTGCTACCTTCGATACTAACATCAGAATTTCTAGTACTCGACCTTTATCGTCAGCTTTTCTTTACAGCAATCGGATCACCGTCACTTCCTCAACATTTTCTGCTACTTCTCTAGCAAAAGTCATCTACCACTCGTGCAATATTGCTTCCGGCTATTCAAAAATTAATAAGATTTTGTAATATATATCGACATAGTGGCGTCATTTCAATTGAGACAGTTGCCCCTTCAGGTTTTCCAACGTAGAAACTCATACTATCTTTTCTGTCATTTTCTTTTTACCTATATATGTGTTGGATCTTTGTACAACACTAAGATGTTAATATATCACTCTATTATTATGAATTTAAAAGTACTCAACTTCCGATCATTCACTTTGGGAAAAATCCATATGACCATTCAAACTGAAGGAGAAGTGTGAAGTTTCTTTATGAAAAGTCTGCAACCTTTAGACAATGCCTAATACACCCAACGGAGAGTAACCCCAAACAAGAACACACAACTAACACGAGTAGTGATTTTAAAAACTTATTTATTTTTTAATTTCTTTATCATCACTCATAAATGCATATATTTCTTAAACATTCAAGTTGGACAAAAAATGAGAACTATGAGGCTCATTGACTCATAACTACTCCCTGAAGAAAAGACAAAGTCACCAGGTGGAGGAAAGTCCTATCCTTGCTCATAAAAGCAATTTCTTTGCACCCATCAGTTAACAGTGTCAGTAATTAAAAAGACTAAACCCAGCATAGCTGTAAGGTATGACTCATATACCATAAGAGTGATGCTGGAATGAAGCAGAGCCGGGCGGAACGAAGCGGAAAAATATGTCCAAATTATGAGAGTTTCATTATGTGGATTGGGGGTACGGGAGAAACGGCCCGCGGTACGGTACTAGAGTAATTTGAGAATTACATATTGTACTCCAAGGTTTTATCTAAGGTTATGTATAGGCATGTTTGTAATCCTATGTTATTTTATGTTGTATTCTATATCATGTACTTTTTTTTCTGGAGTTGAAAGAAAGTCACCGCTCTGCTCCCGAAGACGTAGGCATCTTTGTCGAATCTCGTTAAATCTCTGTGTTCTTCTGATTTTGTCTCGATTCTTATTTTTCTTCACCATAATTTCTCAACAATAGCTAATAAAATAAAATTATAAATTTAATTGTACTTAAACCTCTATAAATAGATGAAGCATACATTCAAGAGGGCTCGTCACTCTTCCTGTTCATTCTCTCTGTTTGTATTCTCTCTCCTTATTTAAGCTTTATTTCTTGAGTGTGATTCACGAACAAACTCGAATGCAACTCATTTAATGATTAAGGTTTTAATACAGTCTGAACATATAATTAGCAATAAAACAATGTGGGATAAAAAAAATCAACATTTTAAGGTCAAAAATAAGAACAGATTTTATTACCAAATGTAAAATGGAAAAAAAAATGAATTTAAATTTTATTTAAACCCATATGGGTCATTGAAATGTGAGATGAAAAAATAAATATAAATAATAAATAAATGAATAATAATAAAAGATAAATATATGATGTTGAATCCCATCACAGCTCCTCATCCATATAGTCATCATCAAAGTCATCACTGCAAAACAATGAAAAGTCTTAGTTATAAATTATAATTTTGATTGATAAAGTGCAAAAAAAAGTGTATTTACATGCATGCCATATAATTCTTTTATATTTACATATTTAACATCTAATTTTTACACAATTCCTGTGTATTTACACATATTGATCGTTTACATTTATAACATCCAAATCTGTAGTATCATATCAAAATACCACCTTTTTTAACTTTTACGAAGCCAAAATGTATCTTTTCATGCATAGGGGTTGCATGGTATCTATGTAAAAAAAATAATTTTATGAAAAAGTGTGAGCACAAATTGCAAGGATAGGAGAAAAAAATATTACATCAGGACTCTTGATGCATTCGGAGTCTAACGGTGGGGCGTCACATGTCAAGTGAGCTCTACCATTTTTAACACCAGCAATACCAGTGCATTACGATAGGGCTCACTTGACACGTGGCACCCCGCCATTGGACTCTGAACGCAAGCTATGTTAAGAGTTCTGATGTAATATTTTATCGGATATAAACGATACCTTTCATCACAATGACTACTAAGGTCCTGGCAAAGGGCCTTCCCAATTTGTCCCGGTCTTAAAACGCTTCTTTTTATCAATTCAACGAGCTGCAAATAGGGATTTTTTGTAATAAAATCTCAATGAGTGAAATCAACAATAACATTAGTAGTGCACCTGAAGAAACTTGACCAATAGGGAATTGAAAGTAATTTTAAGAGCCCATTTGGGATTTTTTTTTTAATAATATTATTTTTTTATTTTTTTAAATTTGTTTTGTTTAGGCAATTACATACAGATCACCCGAAACTTATTATTTACAAATCAATCACCCTCTTTCATCCCTTTTTCAATTAAATCCCCAACTCATATTTTTCATTTTATCAAATTGTCAATAGTTTAATCGTGGCATGCATAATGCATTGGCTCGGTAGTTCAAAAAAATCATCTAGGTGGTTAATATGTAAATATCAATGTTTTGGGTGAGTGGTTAATTTGTTAATATTAATGTTTTGCTTGGTTTGCATGTATATATTCCTAAAATAAAAAATTTTATTATGTTATAATATGTTTAAATTGTTTTCAAAAACACTCAATTTTTTTTTTTTTTTTGCCGCTTTGACTATTTTTAAAAATAAAAAATAAAAACATAAAAAGATGCACTAAATAAAAATTTACATACGTGCCACCCAATTCCTATATATTTACATACCTAACACCAAAACTTTGATATTCACATTTATACCACCCAAATCCTTCATATCATATAAAAAACACTACCATTTTAACATTTGAAAATGAAATAGACATTTTCATGCCTGGTAAGTTTGCATGTATATAAAAGCTAAAGTTTCGGAGTTAGATATATAAACACAAAAATTGAGCGGTATGTAGGGCTGTAAACAAGCCGAGCTTGAGCGAGCTCAGGCTTGGCTCGTGTTCGGCTCGATTAAAATATATGTGTTCGTGTTCGGCTCAAAATTGGCTCGTTAACCTTAAATTGAGAAAAATAGATGTAAAGTGTGGGATTCGAACCTGGATCAAATATATACAAAAGAATGCACTAACCACATTGTCGCGTGAGGTGTTATGATTTAAACTTAGACATAAATTTATATAATATATTATTATACAAATAGTATATACAATATATTGTTATATAAATAGTTATATTATATAATTTTTTATTTCGAGCTAAAACAAGCCGAACACGAGCGAACAATGAGCTTTTTTAACTGGTGGTAAGCAAGCATTAATATGTATGTAAATGAAATCATGGTAACAGGAAGCTTTAAAAATTTGTTCGAGTTCGGCTCATTCGCGAACAACGAGCTTTTTTAACAGCCCTAGCGGTATGTATGTAAATGAAATCATGGTAACAGGAAGCGATAATGTTACACATGCTATGAAGAACATGAAAATAATATATTAAACTGCAAGTAGTTAAAAGTATGACAAAGTGTTGCTCACCTCATCTTTTGTATCTTCCAATAACCTGTTTGGCCATAAGAGAAGCCATGTTAAACTGGTGGTAAGCAAGCATTAATATGAATTCTTTTTAAAGCATTGATATGAATTTTTATTGATTAAAATCAGAAAAAAAAATGAAGAATACTTGGTTTAGAATCAAGGAAGAATTGCAAAAAATATTGCATCTAGGGTCTGAATATAAAGTTGCTTCCGGACAACGGACAGGGTCCACCAGGAGGAAAAAAAAACCTCCAGTGGATCTCGTTCGTTGTCCGGTCGTAGCTTTCCGTCTGGACTCCAGACGCAATATTTTCTCGAAGAATTGACAGCAATAAAAGAGGAAAGAAAAGCGAAGGTATGGGTTTTAAAGTTTTGTGTTAGAGACAATTATTTTATGTAAGGAAAAATGTAATGTTTACTTTATAGATTATTTAGTACGCTTCTTTGAACAATAATATTAGATATTTGCATAATAATTTAGTGCATAATAAAGAGATGATTAATTATTCATTAAGTTGCTGTAAATTTAACATATTATTTAACTATTCTTTCATGACAAGCTCTGCTAGTGTAATATAAGTGATATGAGAAAGTTTGTTTACATGAGAAAAAACTATTGAACATAGATAGTATATTATTTGGGTTTACATGTTTTGTCACTTTTATTATATAACTTGTATTGTCGTATCACTTTAGATGAAGTGTATTTGTGGCTTGTGAATTAGTGGCTCTTTTCTAGTTAAATGTTATTGTGAACTATTATTACTAGTATTACTTTCATCATCTGACCGTTCGATCTCACTTTGTGGTTAACTCCACGCTCCTGAGTCGATTGTGATAAGTTATATATCTTAACTTTTGTTCAAATATAATTGTTGAACACTAAGTGTTTAGTATATCAATAATTTAGTTTGAAATTTGAGAAAATTTATCACCGTTGATTTCAAGCAATTAGTGTTTGTGGTTTGGGTGGGACCCAATAAAAATCTCATAATTCCATTGAGTTATCTTCGATTGTAATCTAATTAACCGAAAGAGGTAGTCAATCCAATCAAACTAAATGATCATTATCAACAGTCATGAGTTGTCTTCCAAGCAGATTTTATATGCACAAAGATAATTTTTATCTAAGAGGATAAATTTAAATCATCCTTCACTAACAAAGAGCTAGTATCCGATGAAGTATGTCTTTATGATTTCTTTAAAATATCTCACACTATTAAGAATGTGCACCATGCCCTCAGTTGTGTCGCCCAAGCGCATCTCTTATATTTTTTTTGTCTAAGAGGATAGGTTTAATTAACCTTAACTAACAAATTGCTAATGTCGGATGAAGAATGTCACTATGATTATTCTTAAAATATCTCACGCTAGTAACGACATGCATCATATCCTCTATTGTATTATTTAATCACTAAATATCACCATAAAAATAATAACCACAACCAAGCTTTCTAAGTGACTGCTTTGTCATTAAATGATGACATTGTAGAGCAGGGCCATTAGAGAGCATATGATCTCTTATTGAAATCCATATGCTTTCCAATGGCTTCACATCACAAAATTGTGTAAGATTATCTTTCTTAAATCTCGAAATTTTGACCTATAAAGAATAATTCATTCTCTCCCTGAAACACCAAAAAGTGATCCAGACAAAAAAAAAACTAATGCATATATTATAAAGCAATAAAGGTGATGTTTTGTGGCATAACATTGCATGAATATAAGAGAAGTTCAACTTTCAAATTAACATGTTGAGTTTGTTTCTTACAAACTCACACCATTGATCATATCATTTTTAGATTATTGGTTGGGTATCATTGAGACGAGTTATTTATTCATCCTTTAGTATCCTGGGAAGCTGACAAAGTTGTTAAATCATTATGTTTGATTTTTTAACATCTTTTAATAGTTAATTTTTAATAAAATTTTGGTGGATAACATATTTGGGTGTCTTTGGCTTTTAGATATTAAAATCATTTATATTGAAACATAATTATTAATACAAAACCCATTTATCTTCATTGAATTATTGTTATATTAGCCAAACTGGCCTCATCTTTATGAGGATATTTTCTAAAGCACGATCGGAGGGATATAACCCCAGTTGATTTGAAGACTTCTGGAGATGACCAGGCGACTAGGTTCGTGTTGCTCAATATTTCAAACTGTTAGGTTGTACCACAATAGCATTCACAATGAAGAGACAAGTACTTTCAAGGTATGAAATTCAATAGTATGTGCACTGTCAATGGATCAACTTCGACGTACAACAATTATGCTTCAAAAGTCTCTCATCTATGTTAAGCTCAGACATCACGTGAGCTTGTGAAATTGCATCATGCTCAATCTTTGACGCCTTAGAGCTAAAATTGGTCGTGGACAAAATAAAAAAATCCATTTTTTTTCTTTTCACCACAATATTAAGTTAAGGAGAAGAATTATTAAATTTGACTCAATATTATAATGTTTAGTATAATTTAAATACAATCAGATTTACGGAGATGTTAAATGTGATTAAACATTATTGGCCTAGAATACTTCTTTGTCTTTTTCTCTATGTCCTTGATCCCTTATTTTGTACTTTTATGTGGTGCTTCATATTGTGATCCTTTATGAGCATCAACATCAAATTAAGCATTTTTTTCCAACGTTGATCAACATCTTTATCATACCCTATATTTCAACTCTTGGGGTCAAGTTTAAAAATCCTCCTCCATTCATTCATGGTCAATGCAACATGAGATGTTTAACACTATCTGTGCAAATCTTATCATACTGTCTAGTCATGTTGCATTTCATCTGTCATTTTTCCTTCAAAATAATTTACATTAAATTAACCATCCAAAATTATTGATACAATTTTTGCATTCACCCTACATGTTCAAACCAGGTATTCACCACAACTCTCATCTTATCATGTATGATAATGAAGCATGTGATAAAAGATATAATAAAAATGAATAAAATAATGAAATTACAATAGAGATGAGGAAAATTATATGAAACCAAGGAATGAGTTAGTAAAACTAGTGGGCATAAGTATGAATGGATGGACATCGTACCTTTTACAGAAAGATGATATATACTTTGAGTATTTTTGTGCCTCTTGTTTATCTACAAACATGGAATAACTTCTTTTAGAAAATCATTCCCTTAAAGTTACTTCGCAAAATATTTATCAGGGAATAGACAATGAAATATATAGAATATCAAAAACTTGGTAATGCTGAAGATTTTATGAAAATAATTGTGTGACCATAAGCAGGCCTAAACCAAAAATGGGACCTATTCAATTCAGAGCCTCACTACATGAGCTCTATGAAAACTCTGTTACATAAATGAAAATCTCTTTAGTCATTCTTAATTTTCAAATTTATGGTTTGAAAACAAAGTATGTACATTTTTTCCAAGTAACTTAAGTTGTGTGCCTTAAATTTAAAATTTATTATTGAAGCTCAACATTCTGCAACTGATAAAAGCCCCTAATCTGTGTAAGACTAGGAGAATGAAAACAATGATAAAGAATCCCTAAAGCTTAAATCTTCCTCGTAATCCATGTCTAAAGTATTGTTAACCTGCTATTGATTGATAATAGATTGAATCGAATGCAAGGAAAAGATACTAAACTATTATGACATTAATTATTTACACATTGCATCAATTCCATCTCCACTTTGCATTATCATAAATCTATGTCGATGACATGAATGTATCTACATATATTAACAATAATTCTCGTTATATCTCCACA